AATTTGTTGGTAGAGAGTGCGAAAAACTTAGATTGTAACACCGAGTTTTACAGTAGGCCTATATAATAGACCGGTGCTCACAATAAATAATTGCACTGTGGTGGCCCATATTCTCACGTGGGCAGTTAAAATGTTGCAAAATTCATAGATCTATATAGATGCATTCTCAGGTCTACAGTGTGAGTGTGAGCGTGTGTGTGTGTGTGTGTGTGTGTGTGTGTGTGTGTGTGTGTGTGTGTGTGTGTGTGTGTGTGTGTGTGTCTCTGTGTATGTGTGTGTGTGTGTGTGTGTGTGTGTGTGTGTGTGTGTGTGTGTGTGTGTGTGTGTGTGTGTGTGTGTGTGTGTGTGTTGAGGGATCCCCCCCCCCCCCCCCCCCCAAATCAATATGAAGGCGATGATAATGTAATTTTTAACTTTTTAAAAATGGAACTTATCAGTGAATTTTCAATGCCCACACACTCTCAAACTGATGAAGAATTAAAGGGGAAATCAATACTGGGTGATCCACAAAAATTTATTTCAGATCACTTGAAACACTTTTTTTGCGTGTTTTCTTTTCTTTTTTTTTTGGAGGGGGGTAAGCGCTTTACGGCGCCTGCGACAGCATCTAATCTAATAGGTCTCACATGAACAGGCGGGGCACACTAAACTTTTTCAGTTTGGTAGGAATTTTTAATTTTGCCCAGGTGGGGGCCAAAGCCTAGCCTACTCTTTTGATTTTAAGGATACCAAGGGATCCTCACCTTGCGCAACTTACACATGGGACCTCCGAGATTTTTCGCCCTTATCCAAGAAGGCTAGGTGTTAGATCTTACTTACCATAAGATCGGGTGACTGAAAGACAGCAGTCAGATAGAAGGAGCCAATGAGTGGCAGTAGTAGTAGTAGTAGTAGTAGTAGTAGTAGTAGTAGTAGGAGGAGGAGTAGTAGTAGTAGGAGGAGTAGTAGGAGGAGTAGGAGGAGGAGGAGGAGGAGGAGGAGGAGGAGGAGGAGGAGGAGGAGGAGGAGGAGGAGGAGGAGGAGGAGGAGGAGCAGCAGCAGCAGCAGCAGCAGCAGCAGCAGCAAGCAGTAAAGGCTGAAGAAAGAGCCAGGAGCCACAGAGGAGGAGTCAAAAGGCCTAGATCTACACATGAGAAAAACGATATTAAATAAGGTTAATGAAGAAGTACAATTGCAAATTCTTACATTTCAGGGTCCTTTGGAAAGCTAAAGAATGCTAGGTCTGGTAATTGTGCGATCTTGAATTGGCACGGACGCAGACTGTCGCAGAACACCACTTACACTTGCAGGTGACTTGCGACTGCAGACAGCCGCCATTAGCTTTGTTTACCGCGCCTCGTTTCACAATCAGGTGGCGACCTGGATACGCGATAAGAGGCTTCGTTTCCGCTCTCTAGAATTAAATTATACTCTCTGGTCATATCCTAGGAGGTTTATTTCCAGATACTGAGAAAGCGTCCACAATTCAGGCTATGGAGCGATGAAAAGTGGGTTGTTAGAAACGATGGCTTCTAGTACTGTCGTTTCAAATAGCACGGGTAAATCAGAACGCGGCGTTTTGAATAGCACGAGAGCTATTCAGAACCAGACGTTTCAAATAGCGCCGGCCTAAAATATTTCATGAATTCATGTTAAAGTTTACATACAAGATTCAAGTGGGAAGATATGGATTACTGATGATATCTAATGATGTTCTGGTGTTTCAGGTTACGCAAAAGTTACAGTGTCTGTCTCTATATTTGTCCTCTCTAGGCGAGGCAGAAAAATCAGCAAAAACTACAGATTTTGACCCCTTTGACGTTGACCCCGACAACCCCTTTGATATTGACCCTGAATACAGGTTTGAAGTTGACCTTGAAGACCCTTTCGAAGATGATCCTTCGGTAAGTTGTTTGTTTTTGTTTTGTTTTGGTTGTTTTTGGTTGTTTTGTTGGTTGTTTGTTGTTGTTGTTGTTATTTGTTGTTGTTGTTGTTGTTTTTTTTTGGGGGGGGGGGGTTAAAAGATTGAAATTGTTATATATACGTAAAAATAACATGATCAGTTGAAGGTTTTCTAGAACCTGCTCTAGGCTTTAAATAATTAATTCCAATGAGCTGCTCACAGTGGCTCGCAGATTTTACACTGCATACGATCTTTTTTGTGATTTTG